TCTTTATTTTCACCAGACATGAGGAATTTTCGAAATTGTACCGGTGTTTTCTGTTTTTCATTCAGAGCACGTAACAGGTGGCATGGGGTAATCAAACGGCGTCTTCTTTCAGAGTCTTTAATACTCCATGGATTGTACTTATCACAAACAAAGTCAACTCTTGATGACATATAACTAGAAGCAAGCTTGATTACATATTTAAAAACATAAATACTTAGCTCACCAAACCTTGATAGAACATGGTCTGCAAGCTGTTGTATTACTGCCATTCCATCTAATATCAGTGCTGCATTTTTTGGAATATTGTTAATTTTCATATCAGGAAACTTTACAAGAAAATAATGAAATAATGCAGCTTTGTTGGTACGCTGCAAAGAACCATCAATGTTACTTAGGCTAGATGGGAACTCTGAAAGGCAATGAAAAAATTTCTTCCAGGTCAACTTTTCGGGTTCTTGCTACTATAAGAAGCCTAGTGAGAAGGTCTTTATCTGCTTTCAAGCAATCTGCTTCCTTCTTGCTCGTTGTGAATGCTTTTTCTGAAGATCACTAAAAGTTTTTATCTTCATTGATTTTAGTGGTGCATTCAACTCCACATTTTTCAAAATTAGTCATTGTTGAACAAACTGATTAGAAATATTACACCCTTGTTCATGTGCTGTCAAAATGTCATCTTTAATTTCAGAAGATGCTACTTGGCCAGATGCAATGTTAATTAATTCTTTTTCACAATATGCAAATGGATTTTGCATAGACTCAATTGTCTCTATGACACTCTGAATATCTGCTTCATCCTTTTGATATCGAGAACTACTCAGGTCTTTTTTATTATGGCAGCCCTCTCCTTTTCCAGCCATTTCAGTACAGTTTTTAGAGATTTGAGCACGTTGATTAAAAGATAAAATTCAATGATGAACAGCATTGTCATTATTTGAGAATCCAATCTGACCACCTCTGGTCTTGCTATCTCTATTCATTGTCTGTTCAATTGTCTGGTCCATTGCCGTCTGACTAAAGGGGTACTGGTTTTGTTGCTGAACTACAAAATCCCCAGCAGCAAGATGCTTTGCTATTGCAGGGTGGGTATCTGGAACAGCAAGCATCTTATAGATATAAACAGGAAGATATCTAGCATAGTTCAAATGGTCATATGCAAAATACCAAGGTACCAAGGTACCATTTCTGCTGCTGATTTAAGGTGAAGGGCCCAATCTCCTGTTCGTGTAGCACGAATAAAATTTAAAAACAAATCTTCCATATTCAAGTAACTCATCCAAAATGCAAAAGTTGGAAATTGGCTGCATCTCTCTTGAATAAATAAGGATAGTTTGCTTTCAAACTCTTTAAAATCATTTGATGTGCAGAGATCTTGGAATTGTGTTTTGGGAAAAGCATAATATAAATTTTTAGACAATGCAATAAATTTAGCTTTTTCTTCTTCACTTTGTGTTTCAATAAAAATAGATAGGACTTTCCTCCTTAAGGCTTCAGACATAATTTTTATGACTCTGACACTTCGATTATAGTGCCTGCCTTTCATGACTCAGGTATTGATCCTTGTGCCACTGTTCCAGCTTCAAGTAGGACATCAGCTAGCCCCGAATCTTCAAAGCGCTTTCCAATGACATTGAGAAACGACATGCAGGTGTGGAACTCACCAAGTCTGACAACTGTTTTTTGCATATACATGGCAACATTCCAACGTACTTGCTGTGCTTTAGCATAAAATGCAAGATCAAATGTTAATACAATACATTCAGTTTCAAGATCATCAGCAATAGCAAGACTTTTCAAAAATACTACATTCACAGTACTTAGTTGAGTTGGGTTACCATTGACCACAGGCAAATATCCAATATTGCTTTTTGGTGGTATTTGGTCCTGTAATAAAACAATATTGAAACCTGTCCAACCTGGAATTGGAGTAGTGTTTTGGTTGTCACTTTCACAGTGCATATTGATCATGGTCATAGCCAAATCAGTAATGCTTGTTTTGGTCTCACAAAATGATTTAAATAAAGCATTTTGAATGCTGTCAATTGAAACTGAAGGTAGGAAAGGGCCTACTCTTTTTGCCACATAAGAGTTATTTCAGTAAAAGAAATAATTTTTTAATTCGTATTAATTGACTCCCGAAATCAAGTAAAATTTTTTCATATAAATTTTATGTCCACAGAATGAAACAAAAATCGACCGTGGCCTATAGCCTATTACTTCTATGTGCTGCTGTCAAATCTTATATGTGTTGTTCTTGTCCTAAGTATTATTGTTCATTACCAACCATCGTGTGATTATTCTATTCAATAACCATCCCTAGGTTACAACAATTATCGAGCAAGTACTATTAGTGCAAGTGATATTTGAAGGTGTCTGACACCAGTATTATTCAATGGTGTACTATGGTTGTATCTGTGATTACAAAGTCTCTACTGCAACGAGCATTACAAAAGTGACAACGAGTATTCGTTGACATTACAAAAGTGGCAATAAGTGTTCATTGAGTCACAAAAAAAGTAATTTGAGAAGAAAATGTATTATGTCCAGAAATATAATGTTTATTTAAATACTTTTGTTTTATAGTTCATAGATATTTTTATAAAATTATGAATAAAAAAGTTGTTTTCATATTTATTTATAAAATGGTAAATAATAAACATTGCATTGTAGTTGGTTCACATATTTTGAAATATTTTTAGATATTTATAAATTTTTGAATAAAAACATTTCTTTGCAAATTTATTTCTTTATAAAATGATAAATAATAAATCTTTATAAAATGGCAAATAATAAATAGTGAATTGTACTTGGTTTAAATATTTTTATAATCTTGTAAATAAACATTGCTGAGGGAGTCTTGGTAGTATATGGTAATAGAGGTGTCTCGTCTGTGGTCCCGGAGGAATCTTTCTTTAAGTGGAAAGCGGAAGTATGCTTCACACATCTACCCAATTCTCCTTTACTGACTCTCTGTGCTTCCACTCCCATATGCCATACTAATGCAATTAGTTAGGGTCTTGTTGTTCTTCTTGTGAGGAGGTAAGGATCCCAAGGCATGTCAGAAGATCTGTTACCTTTACCCTTCTGAAGGCAGTCTTGGTATGCCTAGCATTGAGATTCATCAGTATATGGTTTGTATTGTGTTCCTAGATCGAATGTGTTTACAATGACTCTCTCCATCAGAATTTGGCAAAAGGTGGGTGAGTCATATCTGTTAAGTGAAAGGAACTGACTTAGAGTGGCATTTTGATGCTAGTTAGGCATTAGGATATTTGGAACCCTGTATTAAACATTGGCAACCCCACCCAAAATATGATAGATATGGTTTGTTTTGTTTTTAGTTTTTATGCCAAGTTAACTTACCTAGGGTCACTGGCCATTTTTATTTTATTTTTGTCCCCATTTTCTTTAGTTTAATTCCCCCTCCCCCTTTAGGTAACCAGAAATACCAGTTCTCTGGTGAATGCAGGACACTTTTCATTTTTTGAGTGTTTTTTTTTTGTATTTGTTGTTGTGTTTGAATGAGTGTGTAGTTGTGTGGGTGGTTTGGTTGAATGACTGGTTTTAATTTATCCACATTCCACATTAGTTTCGTCCAGTTAACTGATATTTCTGCCACATTTAAGTTGGGTTGGGGGTGTTACTAATACCATTTTGTCTAGTTTCTTGTATATATAGTACTATGCATAGTGTAAATATTCATCAGGGTTTTTATTTTTAAAAATTGTTATTTTTATTCTCCACCCACTACAGACAAATTGTATACATGGGACCAGTTAGGACTTCATAAAGTCTGTGAGGTATTATGGTGGCTGTAGTAAGAATGGTAAGAATGTGGTGTTTTGATGCAAGTGATTGTGGTTAGCTAAGTTTTTAAGATAAGATAGATGAAGACCAGCATTCCTCATTCACACTTTTGACCTTTGTGCCACAAAAATAAATATTATGGTAATAGAGGTGTCAACAAAAAAAAAATGTCCTTTTGAAACACTGATTTTTTTTTGTGGGCATGAAATTTGAATGTTACCATTTTGGCTTATTAATATATATGAGAGGTACATACAAGACTTTCGGACCACCCTGTATGTTGACCAGAGGTACATGCAAGACTTTCAGATCATCTTGTATATTGACCAGATGTACATACAAGGCTTTCAGATCACCCTGTATGTTGACTAGAGGTATATACAAGACTTTCAGACCACCCTGTATGTTGAACAGAGGTACATGCAAGACTGCCAGACTAACCTGCATAATGACCAGATGTACATTCAAGACTTTCAGACCACCCAGTATATTGGCCAGAGGTACATACATTGTTCTCATTCTTGAATTTTTCTCATGCACCAATTCCTTCTAAGGAATATCAAATTTTGAAAGATCAAATTTTTCTTTGCGTTACTGATCTGCTTTCTTGATTGAGTTGGTGTATTTCTCTACTTCTTCACTCAGGATTGAATGTATGACTTCTAGGAAACAAGGCCAATAGGCTTAAAAGAATTCAATTATTAAGCCAAGTATAAGATCCTCTAATCAGAACAGAGCTTAAACTGAAGACTTCCAAATGCCACTGCATGAATGTTCTATGGGACAGGCTCAAATGGCAGTCATCTAAATTCCTGGAACTTGTGAGTTCCATCCCTAAGTCAAACAATGACGTGTCAAAAAGTAAGAAATGAGTTCAGTCCTTTGGTCATGTTGTTCAAAAGTGTACTGATTCAATGGAAAAAGGTGAAAAGAAACACTTAAAAAGTTTAAAAATGATAGGAAGAAAGCCTGATGTGTCAAAAACTATGCTTTAGATATTATACGAATATTTAAATAAATTTATATAAAAAAAGATATATTTGAATAACAAATAGCAGCTATTTTATTTAATTGTGTTTTCTCACAATAGCAGTCATCTTTAATGGTAGCTCATAAGTAATATTGTAAGCTATAATCTTGTCCCCAATGAAGAGATAAAGATTAACATGATTAACTACTGTTCTTTCATTTTGCAGATCATCCTAACAGTTTGAAAGCAGTTTGCAGAATAACCATTCGACAAATTGTTGGTTGGAAAAGGATAAGTCGACTCAAAGAATTACAAATGTTACCCAAATTTGTTATTTCATATCTCAGTTACAATGAATATAATGACTGCTGATGTAAGGCTGGTGCTTTATCAATGATTAAATATTTTTCTGTTGCTAAAAGTTTTTTCTTGTGAAAATGTCCAGAATATTGCAAGCATTTTGACAATTGCACAAATAACCACAAAACTATTATGCAGAAGAATATTTAATGTGACTTTGAGAAAAAATTGTGGTAAATATTTATTTATTTTTTGACTATTCTAATTTTTGTTGTTTGTTACATAACATTTCAGCTGGCTTATTCTATGACCCTTTGTTTAAGCGGGAATTTTGTTTAATCTGCTGTTTGTTCTTCAGCAGTATTGCATCCTAGAAAGCAAAACAGTGAACAGCAAATAGGGAAAGGTTTTAATGAAAAAGTGTTTTTACTCCTCATGGTGAAAGTTGGGAGGATTGACCTCTTTTCTGTCATGCAGAAATATCTTTAGTAATAACAGATAGATACAATTTGCAACCATTCAGTACAAGACTAATTTCTCTTTTAGTATTAATGTTTGAATAAAAAATATTTGCATGCCTTGTCAAATCAATTTCACTGAACAGTTGTGCTAAAAAATATATTTTCTACTTTTTATATTATTCATCCATTGTAAACAAAGAATGAATGAAATCTGTTTTTTCTTTTACAAAGTTATTGCACATGAAAAAGAAATTTTTATTGAGAAAAAACGACTTTAAAAAAGGAATTTCTTAGTTATATATTTTATTTCTTTTATTTTGATATAAGAAGTTATAAAACAAAGTTGTGATTTAAACTTGTAATAATAATTATATTTAAACTTGATTCTGACAGAAAAAAAGAACATTTACTATCATCAATAATAAGGAATTGTTTTACTGTCATTATAACCACCTGCTATCCCAGATTTGACCTCTTATCTGGTGTATATGGGTACTTGAACTAGTATATATATATATATATATATATATATATATATATTTAAGAAAAACAGACCACTTTAAGGTACCATTATAATAATTTATTTCCCCAGAGCCTTTTTAAAGGACGCTGGATCATCAGATAGCACTTACAAAAATGAAACGAAAAATGAAATGAAAATTGATGGGTAGTGTAAGTTTTTGTAATTTAACAGAGTGTGTAAAAGGAGTAGTTAAAGAGACATGGTAGAGTTTAGGGAGGGTTTAATTTAATATCTCTACATTATACTTAGTATTGGGGGAGGAGGACTGACCAGAACTTGACCTATTTAGACAGTTAACTTAATGGAAGTGATATACTGAAATGGGAGGGGAGAAGAGAGAAAAGAAGAAGGAAAAAGAGGGAGAGGGAAGTAAAGAGAAAGAGGCTGTAATTGGGTTTTAGCAATTTATGTAAAGAATAGATTTTAATGCTTGATAGTAATTTAGATGTCTAAAAAAACCCGAAGAAATTAATTTGATGCTTGCTAGCAATTTAAATATTTAACTTTTTTACAAATAATTTAGGGATTTAATATAAGTTAAATACTGTATTTATTAACATATTTATAGAGAACATATTAAAAAAAATTTTAAACTATAACAGTTTGTTTACCTGACCAATAGTACTCTTTTAATATTGTAAAAGACAGTTACGGTAACATCTTTATCAGTTTGAATCTAATTTATGAATGTAATTTGTAATTATTTTTTGATGGGTAATCTTTCTTACTTAAAGTTTAGGTTTTGAATTAAGATGGAGTAATATTTGAAGGTAATCTTAAAGATTTTGTTTTTTTTATATATATATCACATACATACTTATGCAAATCCCATATATACATACGTTCATTTGCATGTGCAATTACACACATAGACACACATGTATCGATATATACAGGTACCTATACATATTCATACATAAATTACATACACATACATATATATATATACATACACATTATATAAATATATATATATATATATATATATATATAAAGAAATATAGTCTTAAGGTGTGCTATATTTATGGGATAAAGTGCTCAATATCAGAGATAGAGCGTGTGTAAATATAAAAGTGAACATAGAAGTCAACACTTAGAGGCGACAGTCTGTTTCATGCTATATGCAATCGTTAGGCCACATATGCTGTTATTTTTCTCGGCTATTTATATATACGGGTTAGTGGTGCATTGTGGGTATTCTATTATGGCGGTTATTTTTACGGAAGTCGCTTTGTTTATTTATTTGGGTCAAATTATATTGCTCGTTTTTATTTTTTTTGTTTCTTATTTTATATATTTATTTCTTAACGTAGTAAAAATTTGTTTATATCACGTATTTAACAGTTTTGTTTTGGTTTGAGAATTTAATTCAAGCTATTTGTTCAATTTTGGGGTTGGTTGTTGTAGTTCATTCTAACTATTATTTTTGCAGGAACAGTTTTTTACTACGTAAGAAATAAATATATAAAATAAGAAACAAAAAAAATAAAAAACGAGCAATATAAACCCAAATAAATAAACAAAGCGACTTCGGTAAAAATAACCGCCATAATAGAATACCCACAATGCACCACTAACCCGTATATATAAATAGCCGAGAAAATAACATATGTGGCCTGACGATTGCATATAGCATGAAACAGACTGTCGCCTCTAAGTGTTGACTTCTATGTTCACTTTTATATATATATATATATATATATATATATATATATATATATATATATATATATATACACACATTATAAATATATATATATACCCAATTGGTTGATATTAAGCACTTTCAATTATAGTTCTGTGCACAAACTTAAAAATTGTATGTTGGACATAAACTACCATCCTATCATATAGGTTAACTTGCTATATATTTGATAAAATTACTATTTGTACTTATATTGATAAACAATGATAGGTACTGATATTTCCATGAGTATACAGTAATAACAATATGTGTATACAAGATTAACTGTAAAAAAGGCATTTTTAAGTCAAGAAACCCAAAACTTAAAGCTTTCTTTAGTTTGGGAATAAGGATTTTAAATGTATTCAACAAGTAGCAATATATTTAGTGTACTAATGAATCTTGCCCGCATGTCACCTCATGTGTGATGTCAGCATAGTATACACAAAATAAATACAGAGTTTAAAAACATTTTGAAAATGGGAAGAATTGACACTACCTATAGCATTCTCTGATATTAATAATTGACAGAAGTATAGTTGAAAGCACTCATTCACAAACATTTGCATATTATTTACTTTCACTGGATTCAAGGTCTCTGGTATGTAAACAAATAAAAGTTAGCTAAGAAGAGATAAAAACAATCTTCTTTACCACATTTAATCAATAATCCTGTACACATACACACACGCACACACATACATGCTATGTACTTTATAATATATTACTTAGTATACATAAATATGTAGTACTATAAGGTGGTGCTGAAAAATTCTTGGCCGAACCCACTTCCAAAATCTGACCAAGCAATAGATTTTCTTTTTGTGATATGCTTCCTTATTGGTCTGAGAACTTTGCAATACCTCATATCATATAATGTATATAAGTATTAAAGAATTTATTTATATATATATATATGAAGAAATATAGTCTTAGGGTGTGCTATATTTATGGGATAAAGTGCTCAATATCAGAGATAGAGCGTGTGTAAATATAAAAGTGAACATTGAAGTCAACACTTAGAGGCGACAGTCTGTTTCATGCTAGACGCAATCGACGGGCCAGATTACATCTAGCATGAAACAGACTGCCACTTCTAAGTGTTGACTTCAATGCTCACTTTTTATTTATATATATATATATATATATATATATATATATAATTAATGAGAAACTTATCACTTAACTGAATGTTGTTATTTTAGTCATGCCAAAGTTTTGTTAGCGCATTGTAGTAATGCCTTCACTCTTCAGGCCTATTGGCTTACACATACATATATATATATATATATATATATATATATATATATATATATATATATATATATATATAAAACCTTTTGTTAGGAAAATTAATGACAAAGTGGATAAAAATTTTGTGCGATATGTTTTGTCCATTAGTTCTTCATCGAACTAAAGTAATGTTTCTGTTAATATAACTGTACATGTGCATGAAGGGGAGGGGACACTAAAATTTTAAATTCAAATTCTTTTTTAGATGTGCTTTGGTATACAGTCTAGCCATTTTTTCTTAGTGTCTTTTACTTTTTGTTTATGTTTTTATCACTTTTGTTATTAAAGATTCCATATTGTGATTTTAGAAGATCTGTCAATAAAGGTGAACCTGAACATAAATTTACTGTGGATGATTTAGTGAATAAAGTATTTTCTATGCACTCTTGCTGTAGTAAATTGCATTCTTTTTTAATTAAAGTATAACTTTTTAAATTGAAATTATGGCTAAACTCATTATGGTTAGCAACTATCTGTGTTATTTTTGTAAGATTTTGTAAATTTTATTTACCTCAGCAGAAACATCATTTTAGTCTGATGAAGTCCTAAAGGACAAAATGTGTAACAAATATTTTTTTTTCCACTTTGTCAATAATTTTTCTAATATTATTTTGGTATATAAAAAATTATATATCATCTTCTCCCAACCTTTTTGTTCCAAATATCTGTATTTACCTCAGCCACACTTAATCATAGACACACAAGAGTGGGTTCTTTCAAACATAATTACATAATCTACTCTCTAATATGAACATAATTACATAGCCTGTTTCTATTGGTTAAGGCATTGTCAGCCATAACCAATAGAAATATTAAAACCTTCATTTGATTACATGGCCAGCTTGAAATATCTTGATAGCTTTATTGTTGTTTTTCATCATAAACTAATGGAAAAAAGCTAACCTAAAACAAATGATTTGTATATTTTTATTTTATAATTTCTGTGTCAGTCTCCTCCAAAAATTATTTAACAAATAAATGATGAAAAAACCCTGAAAATCTCTGTAGGTAGTCAATACTTTGATCATCCCATAAAGTAGATGATTTTGTGAATATTTTAATATTTTTTTTATCTTTTTCAAAATGTTAGTTAATCATCATGTCTCTGTAT